CCCCCCCCCATTTTGAATGCATATTTTGCATTAATGCATATTTATTTTCAGAAGTGAATGAATGATTGGTATATAATTTACAGTTGCATGTGTGTGTGTGAGGTGCTGCACAAATCCAGAAAAACAATAGTGAGGGAAGGCAGGCAGTGTAGCGTCATGTGTTTTACTCCCTGCACCAAAATAGCACACTGGGTTCATGCTTAACCTTTGACCAACATAGATGAGGTTTTTGGTCTTTATCTGGTTTGTAACCCGAGCATACATCCAGCCCAATCAGTGGTCTTTGTGCTCCATATATTGAACTTTCAACGAGGTAAGCACATGGCCTGACTTCACCCATGCAATCATTTACCATTATGTATTTAGCTGCTAATGACGTATTTAAGCTGTTAACATAAGTATTTTAATTGAGTACAAAAATGGAACCGAGTATAAATGATGTTTTTTCAAGCCTTTTAAGTATCTCCAAGCTCTCTGAACTGGGCCAGGTACCATAAACATTAATAACATTTTATTGTCTTTTTGGTATTTTAACACTGTGGTTGGCCAGATGTGGCTCCTATTACCTTAGAAATAATAGCCACAGGACACAGAAACAGACTAAACATACTTTTATTGTATGCTAAGATTCCTTGATATCCGGCAAAAGTAATCCTGTGTCTCAAGAGCTATAGTAATGTTTGGTAATGTTAATTATATTGGTATGATTGTGTACTTTTATTTTGATGCTTTGGCAACCTTTTCTTTTTTTTTTTTAAATTTTATGCCAATAAAGCCACGTTGAATTGAACAATTCTGCAGCTTTGAAATAAGCTCGTAAAAACGGATTTTCATCCTTTTATTTTGAAAACCCCAGAGTACATTTCACCGGAAATCCGGACACTTACTTTCACCTACCAAACAATCAACCCAACTTCACTGCCCACCGACGTAGCGAGGTAATAGTCGGATAGACGATGCTAAAGTTAAGACAACATTGAGACTAATTAGTGCAGCCGTGAGACGTAATAAAGACGGTAATGTTGGCTGTTTTGCAAGAGTTTGTTCGTTATTAGCTCACGCGGACCTGCCAGAGTGCAGATGCCTCGTTTGGAAAAGTCAAATGGCAGAGGGACAAAAAGGTAAGACCGAAGCCACGCATGCAAGGTGTCGTTGATTACTGATTAAAATGCAAGAACTTTATCCAAACAAATATCTCTCAGTGCATCATGTGACCACACAGCACGATGCAAGTTAATGAGATTCAAGTGCTTCCGTTTCCTAACACACGTACATCTGTTGCTGTGCGTAGACCTAAATTAGACTGGACGTTTGTGCAGAGGTTCTGCAGCATCCAGAAGGTCCTGTTCCCGTCATGGACCAGTCAGAGTGCTCTGATGTTTGGGACGCTGCTTGCGGTCACTCTGACAGGTAACTGCTGTTCATACACGTTTGTATAAATTGTCACATTGTTTTGCATGAGACACATTCAATGCCTTTTTTCACATTCAACCCCATTTGTGGCATTCTAACACTATTCCTCAGATAACACGAGACTACATATACTATGTCGTAGCTCAAAGGTTGCCTAATTTACCTATATTGTTTTACAAGTCTTTGTCGTCCCAACAATGTGCTAACACATCTTTTTTCTTCTTCTTCTGTTACCAGAGCAGCTAATCATTTACCAGGTGGGTGTCCTCCCCAGTCACTTCTACAGCGTGCTGGCAGACATGGACTTCTCGGGCTTCCGGACTCTGGTGGGCACAGCGATGGTGCTCATCTTGCTCAACTCCACAGTAGGTTGAAGGAGCACTACTGATAACAGAAGCCCAAATGTACCAAAAAAAGATCTCGCATGTCCTCACACAATTGGGTACTTCCCAAACGCATGCACGGGGACAAGTGGCGTGCCTGCATGAGAGTGTTTATGTGGAAGTGTTTTAAATAGCAGGGTGCATGTGTTTGGTAAATACTTTGAGACCTGGGTTATGCTGCACGAGTTGTGTGAGACTTTGTAAACGGATGTTTTGGTATAGTTTGGCTGTGGTTAAACGCGGCCCCCCATTTGCTTAGATTAAAGTTTGGATTCAAACTTTGCAAACTTTGTTCTTCGTGGAGGCATGCGAGCAAAATAAGGTTTTCTCCAATAATTCAATGCAACAGTGTGTGAGCCATTGATATTATCATTATTATTCTGCTCTATCCCACTGCTGCTGTTATTAGTAGTAGTCGTAATTTTTCCATCATTATTCCGCTGACTATTCTCATTGTATGAATCATTTATGTTATATGCATTGACTGAGTTGTAACTGTTATGATGTTCATTCTGTACATGTGACATCTATCACACGGGGAGTTGCTCTTGTTGTTTTGTGAGGGTCCTGGGACAGAGGATGTCGTATGTGTACAGATTATAAAGCCCTCTGAGGGAAATTTGTAATTTTGGGCTATATAAAATACATTGAATTGAATTATGCAAATAGCCTTTTCGTGGGTGAAGAATCCCTTTCAGCCAAATTATTTATTTTATGTGATTCCATTTTAACATTACTGTTATAATACCTGGGAAAACCCAATATTGTACATTATGTACCTGGATATTTATTGCTGAAACTAAACTAAGGAAACAGTTGGGTACATAGTTTCCTATATTTTATTACATGGCTTTTGATTTTGGATTGCTCTTATAATAGACGATGTCAACTTTACAAGGTCAGGACAGCATGACATGTTCTTTTTACAGCCTTCACACATGTGATACTTGGATTTTGAATCAGAGAAATTGCAAACGCATAACTTAGGAAACTGATATTGGACGTGCAGCTTATTGCACCACATTGGTGTTTAATTGAGGCCTCTTCTGAAATATGAGGAATCGTATGACGTTTACTCTGGTTAGCCTCGCAGAGATCATCTTATAGTTGCAGTTTGTTGTCTCTGTGTTGCTTTACTCTAATAGATCATTTCTCTCTGTCTCTGTGTTACTCTCTCACTCTCCCAGTTAAAAAGTATCGACCAGTACATTTGCAATCAGATGTACGTTAGCTGGAGGAGGACGCTAACTGAGAGCCTCCATACGTCCTACTTCCAGGGCCGAGTCTATTACACCCTCAATGTACTCCGAGAGGAAATAGACAATCCGTAAGCTTTGATGGTTTTATTTAATATTAGAATATTAAACATCGTCACAAGGAGGAGTCATGTAATTCATTTTTCCTCTGTGTGTCGTTCTGTGTAACTCTCAGAGACCAGCGAATCAGTCAGGATGCAGAGAGGTTGTGTAAGCAGATGAGCACCATGGCCAGTCGTTTGATCGTATCACCGTTCACGCTGGCTTACTACAGCTACCACTGCTTCTACAGGTAAGTTTGTACCGAGGCAACTGTACTATTTCACGCTCTTAAACACATTTAATACCTACTCTGAAGTTGAAGACATACATATGTGCCATATGACTTACATTTAATATATCATTTGTAGCCGTCCCATGTGCTGTCTGTGGTTTAAGAGACGAGAAAGTCTACCTGTTGTCAGTGACGGACACAACTCCTGTGCGTCTGATCCAGCAATGCTACATTTATTTAGCTTTTTGTTAAATGTGAGGCTCTATTTTTGCACTGTAACTGCAGCAAAATGACTTTAATCTCTGAGTATTATCTTTTGTATGCTTTGGGTCTTTTTCTACTTATTCAACTTTATAAAGTCTTAAATGTATTTTTCTTCTCATTGTATTTGTCACGCTGTTTTAGTAGCTTCTGAATTGCCTTTGTGTTGTACAAATAAAGTTGCTTTGCTTCGTAGCACCGGCTGGATTGGTCCTGTGAGTATCTTTGGCTACTTTGTGATCGGGACCATTGCCAATAAAATCCTCATGGGGCCGATTGTGTCGACTCTGTTTGAGCAAGAGAAACTGGAGGGGGACTTCAGGTGAGTTTGGTCTGTAAGTCACAAACACACGAGTGTCTGTGTCAAGTAGAATGTGTGCTGACGGACGAGCAGAGCAGGACCGACTTAAAAGTGTTCCTTCTGAACTTCGGCAGGGTGGGAGGGTAGTCTGCCAGCTTTATTTGACGCAAATCATGTCGGTGTTTACTTTTAAGGAAATGAGTCCTTTTGTTAAGCGGAAGTCTCGGTAGACTTTGACCCAGTGCCTTTTGCCTCTTAGGAAATAACAGGATATGTGTCGGCTATTAATCCAACTGTCACGAGTTCAAACTATTTGATTTTGTGTTGCCGGGGAACAGTTGAATGATAATTGTGTTGAATCGTAAGTTGTGTTGCTTGAAAGTAAAAAGTCTTTTTATCAGAGATCTGTTTTTGTATGTCCAGATTCAAGCACATGCAGATCCGCGTCAATGCAGAGTCTGCAGCTTTTTTCAGGTGAGGCACAAACGCATGATTTATATAGTACAGACGACCTTGTCTCATTTATTTGACTGTGTCTTGTGCATGAATCATGCCTGCATACATTGCTGAAATGGAAATAAAGACATTTCCACAAAGTATTTGCAATCATAACCAAATAGCTTGCATAGAAAGTACGGCGTACTATACTGTGATCAATCGGAATCCTTCTGACACACCAAATGTCTGTGTTTTTTAGAGCCGGTAAAGTGGAGCACATGAGGACCGACCGCAGACTGCAGACTCTGTTACAAACTCAGAAGAGTCTAATAAACAAAGAGCTCTGGCTTTATAGTAAGAACATCCCATACACTCACAGGCTCGTATCTCTCATTCGTTGCTTTGATTAGACCGGTTAACCTCTGACTTCTCCTCTCTCAGTCGGAGTAAACACGTTTGACTACCTTGGAGGTTACCTCAGCTACATTATAATCGCCATTCCAATCTTCACCGGCATCTATGATGGTCTCACTCCTGGGGAGCTCAGTGCACTCATCAGTAAGGTAAACATCCCGTCCCCACCACTTTCTTAAGAAATGCACCTTTCTTCCCCTAAAAAAATAACCCTTCATAATGTAGCCAGTGAGGTAAAAAAAAAACAATCAATCTTTTTATTTTCATACAGTCAGTGGAAGTGGGAATATTGCTCCCTATCCTAGTTTCAATCTTAAATGAAAGGAAGACACGAGTGAAAGAGTTCACTAGTTCAAACAATTTGAAGACATGTCAGGTTCCTAGTAGTAATAATAAATCCTAAAATATGAATGTGTATATGTCCTCCTGTTACCTTTCCTTCACAGGGTTTAGTTCAGAGATAGCTGAGGTTGTAACATGTTTGCCATCACAGACTGGCTGCATGTGAATGTGTTGCTAATGTAACCACTAGGTGGCAGCAAAAGCTTTCTCTTGTGATTAAGCATTCACGCTGAGCTTAAATCCCTCTTGTTGGAGATCAAACTTCTAAATGTGTAAAGAAGTAATATTGTAGCTTCAGAACAGTACATAAGCAAATGTAAGTATTATCAGCAGCTAGTATTAAATCCCTCTTCATGCTGTCGTCCAATGAGCCTCGTTGTTGCTGCCTTTTGTTCTGTGTTCAAGCACATCCTTTCAATGATCGTGTCTCCAATTTACTCTCTGCTCTGGTTCTCCCGTTCTTTGTTCATATTCAGAACGCCTTTGTGTGCATCTACTTGATAAATGGCTTCACACAGCTAATAGACCTGTCAACCACTCTGTCAGATGTGGCTGGATACACCCACAGGTATCACACTGCATACCTAAATTCACTTCCTGGAGGACAGATGACAGCAGCATACATGCATGCCAGCCACCTTTCTATCACTGAAGAGTGTGTGTGTGTGTGTGTGTGTGTGTGTGTGTGTGTGTGTGTGTGTGTTGTGGTCAGGATTGGGGAGCTGAGGGAGGTGATGGATGACATCCTACGGAAGCAGTGTGACTACGACCCGGCATCAGGGGACAACTACGACTTTGACAGGTTTGTGTGAGCGCTTTCACTTCGATCTCTGCTGCACGAAAAGTCACAACAAGACGGAAAAAATTGATATTAAGTTCTCGTAAACTAAGCTTTTTTGATTTCTCCATACAGTGACTTCAACGTCCATGCGGGCCCTGCAGACACTGCTTTCATCCTGGACAATCTTTCATACAAATCTCCTTACTCAGACAAGCTGCTGGTGGAGGATCTGAGTCTGAAAATCAGCGAGGGAACACATCTACTGGTGGTGGGGAACACGGGCACCGGCAAGACGTCACTAGTGAGGGTCCTCAACCGACTCTGGGAGGCACAAAGCGGTGAGAGAGAAGCTGTCGACTTAGTGAAAGAAAAGGTGTCGTGGCTCCTGACCAGTTTAGCTTATAATGATAAAAATGAAATAGAGTAGGACTGTAGCCTGTTTTGTCTTGTTCAATTTTTTACAATGAAAATAATGGACTCTTAGTAGCCTCACGATAACTGTCGGCCGTCTCCTCAGGTTTTGTCCACATGACCACATGTTTCGGGCCCAGAGGAACCCTCTTCCTGCCACAGAAACCTTACCTGACTGATGGAACACTGCGCGAACAGGTAGCCATCTTGTTTGTTTATGTCGTTTCTCTATAAAGCCTGTAACTTGTATTTAATGTATAGATAATTTAACCAAAGTGCTGGAATCTACCAAAATCAAGTAATTTAACTGGAACTGTCTTCCCCAAAGGTGATCTACCCATTGAAGGACATTTACCCTGCATCAGGTATCAGATTTCACTCTGCTTGAACTGTATATTAACCTGTTAAACAGTGCAACATTGGAAGGCTATATATGTTAATTCATTTAATGCAGTTTGTTGTTCTGGCAAAAAAAAAATAAAACTACAAACGTACAGATTTATATTTGGTTTTCACTCATAACTTTGTGTCGATGCTTCCTCCGGGAATAACTGATATAATTGGTCATCTGAATCAGTAATATTTATAATGAGAGTTTCCTTTTTTTGTCAGGGTCAGTGGACGATGACAGAATTATACAATTCCTGGAACTAGCTGGAGTGGTGAGTCCCTTCATCCCACTGGATATTCCTTTCAACTTAAATCTAAATTAATTCACCTTGAATATTTCACCACAACTTTGAATTTGAACAAACACCGATCCTAAATCAAACTTCCATCCGTGCTCCAGTCCGGTCTCCTGGAGCGGACGGGCGGCTTGGATGAACGGGTGGACTGGAACTGGTAAGAGGAAAAACATTAAATGTTTATTAATTCTTCAAATGTGCCACAAAATGATGCAGAATCTAAACTATTTTCTTTTTCTCTGCAGGTATGATGTTCTGTCTCCAGGGGAAATGCAGCGTCTCTGCTTTGCTCGTCTCTTCTACCTGCAGCCAAAATATGCAGGTGTGTTGTTCTGGATTTCTGTAATGTATTCATGAAAGCTTCTGAGGATGCGTGACTTTTTGGGATTCAGCACCCACATTTCATATTTATCATTTACATATTGTCCTCTGTATTAGAGGTGAACCACACTTGAGTTTTCTTCAACAACTTTTTATTAACAGTGTTGGACGAGGCCACCAGTGCTCTGACGGAGGAGGCCGAGGCACATCTGTACCGGACCTGTAAGCAGCTCGGCATGACTCTGGTCAGTCTGGGACACCGCAGCAGCCTGGAGAAGGTACTGTAGACCGAAAAACACACGCGTTTCATCATGTCCAGCATGAAACTAAAGACTGTTTTCTGTGTGTCGCAGTACCACGATGTTCAGTTGAAACTGTGTGGAGAAGGCCTGTGGGAGCTAACCAAGTTAAAAGGAGGCAGCAAGAGCCCCAGAGAAGAAGCACCGTGACTGCAGGGTCATCGCACACTCCTGAATTCCTCAGTTAGTAACTAACACTCAAGTGCTCGTCAACAAGGTGCTTTAAAAACCCAGTTTACTGCAGTGCAGGTGGAGACCTGTACTCATGCAACATTGAGGCCGAGCCAAACAAATGGTTTGGACCCAAAGACTGGCTCTGTAATTATCAGAGTAGATTCACTTATGACAACAAATCAGGAAAGAGAAGGACACTTGTTTATTGTATTATGTTTACAATCACTACTGGAGAGAGTACATCTGTGGATTATACATAGTTTTAAAGAGTTGTTTACCCGATTTCATAAAAATGTAATATGTACAATAAAAACAAAGGAATATTTGGCCTTTAAAAACAGTTTTTGATGCACATGTCTGGCGAAGTGAAATAGTGAGTAATGTGCAAGCATCACTTGTCAGACAGTGCATCATTGTGGTTGTTTGCTACAGAGGTCACGGTGACCCTGGATGATCTCTTGAACTGATGCAGGGTCATCCAGCGTGTTGATGTCCCCCACCCCGTCCAGGTCCCGCTCCACCACTTTCCGCAGCACTCTGCGCATTATCTTACCTGAGCGTGTTTTCGGCAGCCGCTGGACGAACTGTGAGAATTACGTGACTTAAGTAGAAGTTGGTATTAAATGTGAGTTTAAAGACGGCGGGACAGAATTACCTGGATGAAGTCTGGACAGGCGTACTTGGCGATCTTTTTAGATACCATGTTGTGTAGCTGCTGACGCAGGTCCGCCCCCTGGTCCTCCACATCCTGTTTTAGCACCACAAAGGCATAAACCCCTGACAACAAAGAGAAGTCTTTACTAGAATAGGCATTCCTGTGTTTAACATGATTTTTTTTGACTGACAACAGATTTCTTGCTCACCTTGTCCTTTGATGTTGTGCGAGTAACCTATGACAGCAGACTCAGCCACTGCAGAGCATTGATTCTGTTACAGAAACAAGTGTGGATCATCTGTACACTTTATGGCAAAAACATAAATGTCTCTTTGGGGAACTTTTAATCAAACTGAAATTACGTTAACCCTGCTCAAAGATATCAAACAGTTTATTACTTTTGAATGTAATTATATTCACTCTTTTTATTCCATATTACTCATTTTAATGACTCAATGCTTCCATAGCATACTAGTAAGCTAACGTTAGCATGTTACAATTATATTATGTAGCAAGCAACGCTCAAAGACATTGAAACATGTTATTGATCTACCTTACCACAACATCCTCTATCTCTGCCGTCCCAATCCTGTGCCCGCTCACGTTGATGACGTCATCGAGGCGGCCTGTGATCTGGTAATGACCCTCCTTAGAGCGATAAGCGCCATCACCAGTAAAGAAGTAACCTATTGGCACAGAGAGTAAAGACTTGAGTTTGTGTCTTAGGAAACACCATAAAAGTAGAGACTGTTGTTTATCCCGAACACATCTTTCTGTACCAGGATGAGGCTGACAGTAGGTCTCAATGAATCTCTGGTGGTTGTTGTGAATGGTTCGGGCCATACCAGGCCAGGGCTGAGCTATGCACAGAGCTCCAGAGGTGTGGTTGGAAGTCAGCACTTTTCCCTGAAAGAAATATTAAGAACAGTGGTAATGTTGAAACAAGGACAACAAACGAATTATGCATTGAAAGTAACAAATCAATGTCATGAATGCAAAAAAGGATTTTGGTTGGAGCACAAAAATATCTAACATAATTGTGCTAGAAAGTGTCATACAGTGCATGTAATGTTAAGCATTGAATGATCAGTGAGAGGTAATTTATGCAACATAAGAGGAAGAGAGATGAGCCACCACTCCAACTGTCTGTGCAATCTGTGCAAAATCTGCAACAGCCACAAAGTAGTATGACAGATTTTTAATAGGGAGTGATGGGTGGGAGCAGGGTGGGTATCAAAAGTGACACAGCTGGTGAATGTTTTATAATCCTAATCTGACCCTCCCTCCAGGCCATTCCCAGACTCCAACATTTTCAGGGACGACACACACACAGACAGAGGGATGAGCCCCACACCTCAGCGTCCATGAGCACGGGCTTAATGCCAAAGAAAGGTCTCATAGCCATTCCTGGGACAATCCCTGCGTCTGGTTCTGATGGCCTTGGGCTGATGCAGATGCCACCTGTCTCTATGAACACAGAGAAAAACAAGGCAAATTGTAAAGCTGCTATTTTATCTAAAGAAAAATGTTGACTGTCCATAAATCCCATTAAAAGATCAAAACAGACAATGTGTTTGTCAGGTTTTCTTTCTAACTTTCCTTCAATGTGGTACTCAGCCCTGAACCCGTTGGTTTCTCCTAAAGATGTACATTTTGAAAAACAGGTCACAATAATTTATACATCAGGAATACGGATCGAGAGTAACCTAAGTAAGTACACAACTGTAAATCAATGTTTTTTTTAAAAGCACTGGAGCAGCGCTAAAAACAGAACGGGGGATGAAGAGTAAAATAAAGGGACAGGAGGAGAAGGTAAACGACGGTTAACTAACAGTCTGTAAACCTATATGCCCTTGATACGTTGAAAGATGTAGATTGTGGAATTATCAGCCACACTGAGTAAATTAAATTAGGTTTTCCTGGACCTCAGGGACCCTGGTAATCCGCCTGGTGGTGTTGGTGGCAACAGTGCTGGACACGGCAGAGGGGACCCGTTATTAAGTAGGACACAACAGATGATCCCACAATAGCATTAGCAACTGGCATCCTGTTCAAATCAACTGCTACTGTGAGACTAACATTTTTTTATAGCTTTTTTCGACATACAATATTATGACTTTTTCCAACATGCTATACTTTGAACTTTTGATGACTTTTTCTTTTTTCGACATACTATACGATGAACTTTTTCTCTTTTTGACATAATATGCTATAACTTTCTTTTTCATTTTTTTCCAACAAAATATACAATGGCTTTGTTGGGCATACTACAATATGACTTTTTTTAATCATCCCTTTGTGTTTAAATAGGTTAGGAATTACAACTTGTAGAAAGTTACTAGTTATATGGCAACTAGAAGCACCTTGCAAGTTTCGCAGGGATTATTGCTCGTAATGTTGCTAAAGTTAGAGATTTCTGTGGACAACTCGGCAGTTTTATGTGGAAGTGAGATTGAAAATATATTTTGTTTTATGTGACCCTCACACATATGCTGGCTACCTAAATTACACTCAGTCATCCAAACTGTGAGAGCCCCTGATATAGATACTACATTATATCAATATTCTTCTACTTTATTGCCGTTAGATGCTACAAAGCTTTGTTCACCTCCTGTCCTCTTGCAGACTCTCGCATCTAGTCCTGTATGATCCAACACGGAGGCCGTATGCCAACAGCGGATCAAAATCTAATTTTCTCTCTAAACAGGCTACTTGCTCCCAGATCAACCAAATGGCATTTATGAATAATGCCACTTAGTCCTAATTGGAAACACTGGTCCAGGAAAATAACATAATATAATCCTTTTTACTGATGTAGGGTATTGGGGTCATATCTGTGTCTGTAATTCTCAAACTCATGATGCTCTGATGTTTAATTATCCTCCATTAATTATAGGTTTTTGCCATTTGTATGGTAATTAATGCAGCTTTGCTTCATTTGGTCGTTGCTTAATCTAATTTGAGGGGACTGAGGATAAAACGCAGTCAGGTCTTGTGTTCGTCTGTAAAATGTATTCTATTAGCGAAACCAGCTGATTTCAAACATGTCATGATATACCATCATAAGCTACTTTAGTAAGGGAATAGTAATTATTCTTTAGTGACATCAGAGGTAATCTATAGCTGAAGGTTGATGTGTCACACCAAGGGCAATTACTGTAATTATACTGTCACTGTAATGTATTCTGCCACAAGTTAGTCAGTAAAGCATAGTATAGTAGTGTATTTTGTTTCTATTTCACTCTTGTATAAAAAGTCAAATGCAGTCAAAATGTAATCAAACTTGTGATTCAGTTCATGCCTCTGCAACCAAAACCAGATGTTCTACTCTGGGAAGAAAACATCTGGTTTGATTGCGGGAATCCAGAGCGAATGAAAAACCTTACCTCATTTTATGTGTGTGTTGGAGTGTGTACGCACCCACCTACTGTAACATTGTGTATGTATAGTTACACACGACTGCAGGCTTGTTATGCAACACTGTTATTGTTGGAGAGATGGAGCAAACTGTTCTTCCCCTTTAAGGGTTTTAGTGTCTGCAGACGTGGCTGTGCTCAAGAAAGAGTGAATGAACTTAACTGCCCTAACAAGCACTGAAGAGCAGTAAGACTCACAGCACGAGACTAAACCAAGTTCAATCACTCACAATTTTCTGGTTAATGGGATTTGTACTTTGACAAATGACCCAGCTGATTATAAAAATGATCATGAATACATTTCTTGTTCATTTTTTGATCAATAAATTGACTAATTCTTCCGAGGCTACAGTGACTGTTAAATAAAGAAGACACAGATGCCTTTCCATCCACCTCTTTTTACTGTATATGCATTTTCATTTACATTTGCGAATAAAAACAAACAAACTGATTCTCACTTGATTTATAGCCTTTATTTAGTGAATTATGGTCCAATTTTGAGTAAAACAGACGATTAAGCGGGGTATGCTTTAGGGACAGTTCGCTACCAAGACGTTGCTTGTTATGGGAGTTGTCCGTGTTTTGGCAAAGCCTTATTCAAAGTTCAGTTGTACTTTGCTCCGCCCTCTCGTTTTACTTCTGGTTGCAAAAAAACAAGATGGCGACAGCTAAATACCAAGACGTCAACAGCAGTTCACAAACCAACGGGTGACGTCACGGTGACTACATCCACTTCTTGTAAACAGTATATGATATGGTGTAATGGTTTTCTGACTTGAGGATTGACACCACGTTCTGCTTATCATGATGAACAAACTCCTAAATCTCCCATAACTGTAGTGGATGGAAACAAGCATTCATTTGCATTTTATTTTTCTCAAAATTCTGTGAAAATTTGCGGTGATATCGGATGGAAACCTGGCTAATGTGGTTTCAATGTGTCAGTGTTCACAAGCAACAGCTAATAAATGCCACACTATGTGTATTCACACTTACCTGTTTGCCACCAGGTGTCCACCACAGGGCAACGTCCACCCCCAACGACTCTGTGGTACCACTCCCACGCTTCAGTGTTGATGGGCTCACCCACTGCAGACAGAGAAGGACAACTTCAGTCAGATGATGAAGTCATACATTATTTTTCTTTCTATACTTTGCAGACAAGGTGTGGGGGAAGATTTCTATTCTTTATGTTAAGCTTTGTGTTTTAACCCATCATGCGTCATGATGTAAGGGAACGGGTGTGTGTATGTATGTGATCTCTGTGTGTGTTAGCATACAATCTCATGGCATGCTGTGCTTTGCTATGGCATGTTGACATAGCAGACAGGCTTGACTTTCAATATACTTTCATTATGTAACCCATGTGTGCCGTAAATAGCTAAAGGAGGGAAAAGGGAAACAAAAAACACTAGAGTTAGAAGAACATATTAGAGTAAAAAGGGACATTATATGCTAAACAAACAGTCACTAAAAAGTGGGACTACAGCTGTGATTTCTAATTAAAAATTAGTCATACTATATGCTACTATTCATTGCATTCTAAAAGCTGTGTCCATGCACAGCTGTGTTAAGCATGGTAGGTCAAAACTGAATTGTTGTAGATGTTTACAAAGAAACTAGTTTCCTTTATCTTGAGATCTCTTGTGCCCACAATAGTATTTCTAAGCATCATGTTTGGCATACCAGAGCCCAGAGTTTTGAGGGTGGAGCGGTCGTATTTGTGGACCCACTGGTCTCCGTACTTTAGCAGCAGGCGGATCGCTGTGGGAGCCCCGTAAAACTGGTTTATCTTAAGTCTCTGCACCATCTCCCAGTACCTTCCTGTGAACAACATGACATGTCGAAATTAGCACGGGCAAAAGAGATAATCTACAATGTGTCGTAGGAAACTGGATATCTGAATCAGAAATGAGAGATTAGGGTAAAGCATTAGCCTGAGAAGTAAGACTTTCACTAGTGGCGTGTTTCACCCTGACAATAACAAGGTGTGTGTGCTGACGACTGTCTATAGAGAAGTCCTAATTATAGTGTGGACGGTATGGCCAAGTTCAACTTCAACTGTAAACAGTTATTCATATACAAAGACATGAGAATGCAGAGCTCTTGGCAAAGGACAGGAATACTTAGCGGATGTCTGCCAACACACTTCACACAGAGGCATAACATTTTATATTAACATAATCATAAAAATGCCATTATAATGATACCATTTAGAGCTAACAGAGTTTGGAAGGTTTTACTGTGCAAATAGACGTACAATAATTAAAATCAGAGAATCTTTTCTATGGATTGGAGAACCAGTCTGATACATTTCTACGTTTGCTGATGTTCATACCTGGGTCGGGGTAAATGGGAGTGCTCTCAAAAAGGACAGTGGTTCCCCCGTTGGCTAGAGGGCCGTAGACACTGTAACTGTGTCCTGTTATCCAGCCAATATCTGCCACACAGCCGAACACGTCTCTGTCATGGTAGCTGAAGACATACTGGTGACGAGAGGGAAGATTGGATAAAAAATAGAAGATATATTTACTTTCCCTTTATCTAACTAAAATGGAAGGAGTCTCTTTCTGTTTGTATTAGTACTGTATGCAAGTGTATTTAATATATCTTAATTAAAAACAGAAATAAAAACTTTACATGAAGTCATGCTAAAACTAATCAGGCTGAGATTTCCTCTACAAATGGACGATGATAAGAAAATAATTCTCGCTTTAACACGCGTGCAGGTGCAGGTCGTGGTTGATGTTTACCCTGTGTGTGAGTGCAGCATACAGCAGGTATCCAGCCTGAGTGTGGACGAGTCCTTTGGGTTTCCCTGTGCTGCCGGATGTATAAAGCAGGAACAAGACGTCCTCACTGTCCATGGCAGCTGGCTCACACACCAAATCCTCCTTTAGCATCTCCTGCACGACAGAATTGACTTTAAAGGCTTTTTGTGTATTTTGTGTATTTTAAGATGCTGGAAGAGAACATTTGTACAAGGCATGAAGGCATTAAGATTAGTGCTGACAGAGCAGTATCATCCCAAAATGATGTTCAGTAGCTATTCAATCGTCTCACAGGATCTTCTTCAGCAGATGGAGATTGTTTGATGTCACGTTCAGAGAAAGTCTCGTGCTACGCTTAAAAAGAACAGCTACCAATGGACCTGATGATGCAACAACTAGAATGAACTTCCAATCAAAAAGATCAGTTGATTCAGATTCAGTTAGTCCATTGAATCAATTTTAACCCGACAACAGTTTTGATTATTCATTTGTAAGCCAACTTTATTTAATCTTTAATCTGTATTTATGCAGGGAGAGGCGACGCGGATCAGTCGTAGTCCTCTGGTGTCGGCATCAACGTCTTAATCAAGATCCGATTGGTCTGATCTCTCACCTCCTCCATGGCGACGTCCCTGGCTGTTATGGCGACCGGATTCTCTGTTCTCATGGCAACAAACACCTGCTTTACTGCCGGGCAGCTCTGAACCGCCGCATCCACCGTCTTCTTCAGCTGGGTGACTTTACCTCCTCTGACGCCCTGGTTCACCGTGATGACGGTGCTGGACTGGGCTGAAGATGTGATGCACGTGAAAATCAGACTGCTGACTTGAATAGTTATCGTACTTAACAATCAAACAAACTCTGTATGTGAATTCAACATTATTGTGGTGGGTCATATCACAAACCACCACAAACAAAGGTCTTACACATGATGTTCTTGCTTTTTCACTCAACATATCTGCTGCTAGAAGCAAGGTTAACAGAAAGACAGTTGCAGCGCTTAAAGCTAAAACTAAATGCACTAAAATGCTCAGTAAAGCTGAAGGGAACTACAGAATCGTGCGATCATCCTCTGAGGAATCTTCACTACATGCGACCGTTCTCACATTACACATTGATCGATAACATAAGATATTAGTTCGGCTTCAGCATCCGCAGGCCAGTCAAACTGTCTCACCGTCTCGGATTCGCTCTGCAAGGGCTTCAGCACTGAACCCTGCAAACACCACGTTGTGTGCTGCACCGATACGGGCGCAGGCCAACATGGACGCCACAGCCAGAGGGCAGGTAGGCATGTAGATGGTGACACAGTCGCCTCTCTTCACGCCACGCCGCCTTAACAGGTTACCTAGGCGGCATGTCATCTCCAGCAGCTGCCTGTAAAATAGGTATCAATGAGCTACGCCGCGAGGCGAGGAACAAAACACACACACACACACACATCGAATCCAACCTGCTGACCTGTAGGTGATCTTGACCTCTGACCCCGGCTCATCCCTCTCCCAGATCAGGGCCACCTTCTCTGGACAGGTGTGCACGTGGCGGTCCAGGCAGTTCACTGCATGTACCAACAAATTAGCCAAATACACAGAGACAGAAAACTTCATATTATCTGCCACATTAACGTGTTGCGTTCAAGTCCCTTTGAATATGTAGTATATGCCGAGAGAGACTGGTTTGCATAATGATGCCTTCGCTGTCTCTGTGTGAGTTTCTCAGAAAGCTGCACAGAAACCGCCTCAGATTATGACTCGACCGCAAAATCACTTTATTATAACGACCAAATCCATTTCTTTAACTCGTATTTACTGGTAATGAAATGTGAAGATAATCTCACCGGACACATTCAGCTGACCTCCTTCAAACCACTTGATTCTCCCGCGGCTCAGGTCACAGTCCTGGACTGTGTGGAAAGGACGGATCCAGCTGAGTCTCTCGCGCCCCGCAGCGGCCCAGAAGCTCTCACTGTTGTTGACGGAGAACTCCTGCAACGCCGAGCGGTCCGACACGCCTTCGAACCCCGCAGCCTCCGGCATAAACGCCGCAACGTTGCATCTCCAGCGACCCAAAATATGGATGTAAGATTTGGAGACCCGTCGACGAAAGGAAGTAGCAATGTACTTTGAAGTGCATCCGCAAGGCAGCCACATAATGACAGTGTACGTGTTCTGCACACGGTAGCTTCCTGCTATTCGACTTTCTGAGACAAGAGTTTTTACGCACTTTTGGAAGTTACTCCGCTCTGGGAAACCCCGGAGAAGAAGGGCTGGAGGAGTGATGCATTAAAGGGCGGTACAAAACTCATGTGACGACTAATTTTTCTCAGAAAGTTTGCCTATAATAGTCGACAGCCGGATTTACTTTAAGTTTCGGTTCACGTGGACGATTGTTGGCAACAGCTTTGACAACCAGGCTTACAAGTTAAATATGAAATATATTTTCCATTTCAAAAGTTTTAACTATTAGACACAGGATTCGTTACCCAACTAGTTGTGACGTCACATATTCAGGATGATAAGTAGTCATGAACTAAGATTTACAGCTGCACAGACAAAACAGTTTTCTAGTGTCAAACTCATTCTGCACAGTGAAGCTCAAACATTAAAACAATGACTTTAAATATCAGTAACTTTTAATTAGACTACAGTTACATTTATACAGAGACAAACAGATAATGAATGTTAACTGGACAGTGTTAAGAATTGGACAATATTTTCAGTATGTACATCACAAACGTTGCAACAGATAAAATAAATCAAAGGATTTAATCTTGTTTCGTAATCCAGCTGTGTGCTTTTCAGTTACCCAATTGAAATCACAGGGAGGTCAGAGGTCACAGTCATCATTAATGCCTCTGGAGCAGGTTTTGCTTTAGATGCCTCTTTTAAAAAAAAAAAAAAAGTGACTTGCCTCAAAAAAACATCTTTACCCTCAACTGTCGCATAAAAGTAGCTGCCATGGTCACAGAACTGCAAGTGTGACAATCTATTTTAAAGAAAATAAATATACATATATTTAACGCTGCTCTTTATTAGAACATCTGCAGTAAATGTTAGAGAAACATTTCTGCGCTCCAGCCTCCTTCAGAAACAGACATGTTAAGGTTGTGTAGTTTGGTTGGAGTTTGTTATATTTAGATATTTCTAAGAGCAGTGAGAAAGAAAGAATCTCAACCCTCCAAAGTCATTGGAGCCAAAAGAACCTTTTTTTATTCGTTACCTAATAAGTATCTCTAATAATTTGACATTTATTTATCTCTGTGATATTTGATCTGCAGGTTTGAAGTTCAGTCTTAACAAGTTTATGGGCGTCTCCATAACTTCTGCCTCCGAAATGTTTTGCAAACTCCACTCGGCAGGTTTCCCCCCCCACCCATCAGTCTGTATCCTGCATCTTTTTTTCAGTCACACTTCAACACCTCTGGTGTTTCCTGCTCCGACACATCGTCCTCAGCTTCCTCTTTATGAGTCACGTGGCCGTTTGTTCTGTCGGAAACATTCCCGAGCACCTTAGCACTGTGCTCCTGTGCCTTCGCTCGCAGCGCAGCAATACTGTTCTCCCTCAATTCCTCCTTGGAAATTGATGCGTTGGCAGTGTCTTTAATTCGTTTCTCCATCTCTTCCTCCACCACTTTGTCCGCTGGTTTCTCCTGTGTTGGTGGTGGTGGCGTCAGGCTGCAGGGTTTTCCAGAAGAGGTGTGTGTGGTTTCAACCGACTTCTTGTGCATGCCTGGGGGGAACGGACATGGAATATATTTCAGTTAGAGTATGCAGAGGAGGGTTAGATAATGCAAGTATTCTTGTCTGAGTGTTTATAGTTTGAGGTATTGATGCATTTAGGTTTAGAAAAATCTCACCGATAAATTGCACCTATTTTACCTCACAAGCAGGAAATTGTGTATGTACTGAGGTGTTTGACATTGAAGTAAAGTGTGAAAGAGAATGGGTATAGAACCTCTTATTCAATTAGAGGCACCTAATTGATTTAACCTAATCAATTGACATGAGGAGAGAGAGGACACGTGGTCTAATCTGTCCTGATTAAGTAGGATTATCACTGTATCGACATGCTGACACTTTTATTGGCTCCTAACATGAGCCGGGTTTAGCTCCCACTTCCTGTCAGAATACAGCTTAATCCCGCTTTTCATACGACACAAACTAATATAGCAGGTTCTCTTTGGATCTGCAGTACAAGCTCTCATTTTACCACAAAAAAATGGGCCAACAGCAGTTATAGAAGATGGTCCTAAAGTACTACACCTCATGTGTGCTTCATCAGCCAAATAAAAAGAGACTTTGCAAGGTTGATTTTCACAAAATGAGCCTCAATAATGATATTAAACAAAAGGGGGAATATCTATGACTCAAGATCAATAAAGGACATTTTTGACAGCAGATATTGTGACTCGTGTTAGGAGAAGCACACGTGTTACTTATATTACCGATGGCTCCCTTATAATTAAAGTGTCCCATTAAGCCACGACAGTGTGACACTGAGCCAGCATGCACAATACCGGGACCTGAAGCAGCAATTCATTCATCATAATTTACAGTATGTGCTTTTCCTTCTGTGACATGTTAAAAAATTTTTAAAGCCATCTAAAATGATCCCTGTTGACATGTAATAACTATTTACCTAATAACCACGGAGCATAGGACTCAGTGACGCCCTCCTTGGCTGACTTGAGGATGGACTCCGGCAGTGGGATGGAGTGACGGACCATGGCTCCATACAGGCCGTACTCCGCCATCACGCTGCTGCGACCCCAACACTTCTCCCTTTTCCTCCACTTGGCCCTGCGGTTCTGAAACCACACCTGGAGAGATGAAAGGTCAGATAAAAGGGTTAGATTAAGTTGACTTTGTATAACTAATGCATGCAGTTTTATTCTCTATGGTCTGGGCCATCAACATTATTAATTGCGACTGGACCAGAACACAATTTTTTTAATAAAGACTCATTTTAATCTTGATTCATGTATTGACCTATAGGTCTTTTATTTACTCAAAATGCAAATGAGGGTACAAAACAGCTTTGTCACACAAGTCCTGAAATTTAATGTTTAATATTTCATTTTTTTCCCCCCTCAATGCTTCATTTACACAATATCTGGTCTTTTCTTAGTTGTGCATGCGTGTGTATGCGCGCGTGCATTATTCTCCTTCTGGCTCCTCAAATGCCTAAATTGATTTCCACCAAGCCAGACCTCGCAATAGCCTCAGCAACCTTGTGAATATGAATGAGGAAAACAGGAAAGGAATGATCATCCTAAAATGGCAGAGGAGGCAGGATGATATTATAGGGAATAGTGTGTGTGTGTGTGTGAGAGACAGAAGTGTGTGTGTGTGTGAGTGTGTGCGTGCGTGAGACAGAAAGAGAAGTGTGTGTGTGTGTGCGTGAGACAGAAAGAGAAGTGTGTGTGTGTGTG